CCACATTTTCCCCTTGATCCCGTATTTGGACAGTTGTTTCCACAACCCATTTCTCCATACGGTGTCGTATGCCTTTTTCACGTCCAGGAAGAAGCAGTACGTTGGCTTTCCCGCCCTCTTTCTACCTACTCTACAAACATCTAGGGGGGGGCTTGTTTGACAAACAAATGTCGTTGCCAAGCGACGAAAACCCAACTCCGATGGCAAACACCGGGGGGGAGGGGCACCTTGCTGGGGCGTGAATATAGTCATGCACCCCCACCCTTAACAGGACGAAAACACCAAGCAGGAGAACACATGAGTAATATGTTTTCTTCCCAGTCTCGAACCCCTGCCCTGCTGTCTAACAAGATAGCGTTTTACACCTTCAACTGACAACCAATCGATTCTCTGCTTGTGGCTGGGGCATGAAATTGGATTTATTCCCTAATGTTAAGCCTAACCCACAATCGCCAAACCCACACGATAGATGCTTGATGGGCATTGATGCGATAAATCGAGACAAACCATCGGGTCGTGGTTGGGTCACACGATACTGTAGGGTGATGACGTCGCTATGTCTCGCTAAAGGTCCACTCATCATGACCCGGTCATAACACGATCATGACTCGGTATAGGTCCATGAACCGATTGCAAGGCCGAAATTCCTGCAAAGGTGAGAAACAACCGACAAAGTCGTGACTCGGTCATGATCATATTTTGATCGGGTCCTGACGGATGCATGACGCGTGATGACCCAGTCATGATGGGATCATGACCGGGTCATGACTGGGTCGATCGTTGGGTCATGCTACGGTCATGATCACGATCACGACCAAACCAAATAGTGCTACCCGTTGCAATTGTTTTGAGTAATTTCGTGTCGGAAGACAAGGCCAATACCAGCTTGGGTGTGGCTTTCAGACATACTCTGTAGATAGTGCGTCTGCAAGCAGCGTGCATTTATCTAGCCACGTTCTGCGGCGGTCAAGGGTATGGTGTCACTATGATCAATAAAGCGGGACGAATACAATTTCTTGCGGTTATTGCTCCTAATGCTACATGGTGGGTGGCCAGATGCTGGTTGCTTGCTGGAAACGAACGTCATTTATTTCGATGGGCAACAAGTAATTAAATAGCGGCAAGTGCATGGATGCATATATATTTGAGACCATGCCGGACGGGAATCGGGAGATGTTCGTTTTTAAATTGTCCTAGATTGGTGAACCATTGCAGACGCTGCTTGTTGTTTCGCGTGCTGGACCCTTCCGGCTAGAGGTAGACAGACGGACGCAGCCATTAAGCCTTCGCTTAGTGCTGTGTCGTGGACATTGTCTACGTACAGTACTGATTTTCCAGCTAGATTCGTCACGTATACGTATGGAGGCGGGGGGAGAACTCGACTTTTGTCTGTCGGCCCTGATGTATACCGTGACAATGACGACGTCGTCTTACGAATAATACCAATCTACCGGGTAGTTTCTAGCCTTCTCAACCTGACTCCCCGTCTTGCCCCCCCCCACACACCCGCGCGCACGTCTTAAACGCGAACTGTGTCGCAGGTTGTCGGCAATCAGAAGAGTATTTGTTCAAGAGCCGCGTTGTCCCGCTGGACGATCTCATCGTCCCGCATGACGTCGTGCTCGTACTTGAATACGAATTCTTTCCGTCTCGAGGCTGACATCGATTACGTTCACGACGACTACGGCGTAGTCTCGAGCCCGGATGGTTGCTATGAAGAACGTGTCTCCTTCTCCGCAGATGATCGTTTTTTTTCAGACGGTGACCTCGTCGATTACGAGTATTTCTTCTTTACGAGGTATCTCTCCTTGTTCGACGATCTTGTCGGCGATGTTGACGATTCCGACGATGTTGAGGTGGGTGAGGTATCAGTAGAATATCTACATGCCCGCAGGTCGATGTGTGTCATTCAGAGAGTGGTGCGAGGCGTATTTCTAAATGTATCTGGTAGAGCGTTGTACCCTGTTTACTTGCACCTGACTTGGGAATCGTGGGTAGTTACCAGTATGGCAACAGGGTGGGAGCGATCCTGTTTGTCGCTGTTGACCCGTTTTCGCCCTGTAAAACAACATTTGGACCGGTTGAAATCGGAGTGCCCCGGCGGTGGTACTCGGTAGGCAGATCTGACTATTGCTTGTGTTGATCATTTGTCGAGAGCGGCATCAAATCTAATGTACAACGGTACTTGTCGTAAGTGGTGGAGATAGCCCAAAACATGGAGCGGTACAAGTGGCAACCAACAGCCCTAAATCTGCAGTCTACTGAACTCTAGCCTGAAGAATAAAATATGTCGTCAGTGTACTAATCTTTTGCCAATAACACTTATTGGTTGTACTCCCGCCTGGCCGCGTTCAACTGCAACGCTGTATATCGACGATGTAGAAATTCTGGGCAGCTTTTGCAGCACATGTTGTTCGTTTTTTTATTGTTTACAGTTGTA